CGCCCTTAGCAACCTCTAACAGTCGTTCTTCAGTTTTTCACGGCACTAACGGACGGGCACACGCATACACACATACACACACATACGCGACACGCATTTCTCGGAAGCACTACGATTCACTAACGAACAGCACACGTATACGAACGCACACACACGCGACAGCATACTGCACGAATATTTTGTAATCCTTTTTTCTCCTTGTTTTTAAATAAGGAAGAATATATAACATAATATAAGTACTATTTCGAATGTTTACATGAAATTTCCTAGAATTTACTTCGAAGAAGATTCAGTATGTTTGTGTCTAAATCATGTACGTTTATTAACTGCGTATATTGTACTTTCGTGAAAACTGTTTTATTATTTAGTTAAGGTTATTTATATTAATACTATTTTGGAAATTTTGTTTTTGTGATTTGGATTACGAGTTTTTTTTACTAAGAATAAAATCATATAAATTCAAGTGATAAAATAATTAAAAATTAGTTCACAGAATAATGAAATTGAGAGAATTATGCCACTTACATATATGTACATATTACATTCAAAGGACTTGTTTAATTTGTTGACTGTTTAAAATCCCACGTGTATGTATTATTCTGTTAAGAATTAATAAATATTTCTTTATCACTAAATAAATTAAATCATACTGCCTCTTCATTTATTTATCGTTATTGTTTCTGGTCCAACATAAATGACGAATAAAATATTTAAATGTTAGAGGATTAAAATTGGAAAACGTTTTGCAGTATTCGGTATATGTAGGTGATATTCTTTGTGTAGTTACGGAGAGGCAATAGGAAAAGGATACTTTGTATTCAAGGAGAGGTTTTTATTCCGTTATGTGCCTAGGAAATAACTTCCACCACATTCTTCTGTTTTGTAATAGAAATGTATTAAATACTGTTTACAAAATTATTCATTTATGGAGACTGTAATTTTTATTAACATTAAGGTCACATAATGTCTTTTTCTGGATTGCAACACATATTACTAAAATAGCAATTGATACTTTATATTCAATCACTACAGTATTGATTAAATTCTATGTAAATCTAGAAGTATTGATGTAAAAATATTGTTTCATAGGAAAGATTAAAACTAAAATTTTGTAAACTAATTATTCAATTAATTCCTTTGCAATAAAATACGATCAGGGAATTAAATTTAGAGATATTTTGATCTAATTTTAGTAAAATATAGGTTTTTTTTTATACAAAAAATATGCGCACATCTAATATGATTTATATTTACAATAATTAAACGAACATTAATTATTACAATGTTGCTTGAAGTTCTTGGGTAAGGTAGGTTGTGTCAGAGAGGAAGAATGTTTTGACATTTCGTTACCATTGCATGGTATAAGTACATCAGATTCTAGTGATATATGTATGTATGTGTGCATGTAGTTGTAGCACTGGTGAAACGGCAATCTTACTATAGGATACGACACATTGTGAAGTTTAAGACGGTTACACGATTAGAAATTAGGTTGTAAAAATCTGAAAAGTTTCTTACAATAAATTAAGAATATTATTTTATCATTATTAAGAGATTGTTCACACGTTTTAAGAATAGTGTTTGATATTTTTTAAGTGATAGTTTTAACAGCAAAAATAATGTTAGGATATCAATCTTTCGAAACTAGCCGTTACTTAATCAGCTTTAGAAAAACTTCAAATTGTATTGTTTACAATGCATGTTTTAATGTTGCTCAAAATAATATCATTCTTGTATGATATTCTCTGTCTTCAAATTTATAAAATTTTTGTGTACATTATCGTGAGAACGTGAGAAAGTGAAGGTGAATTAGTACGTTAACCGTGCAATTCCATAACAAACAATACTGAGAGAGCACAGTTAACTATGAGAAAGACAAGAAGTACTGTAGGTTAATTCAATTTAATTTTTACTTGCAACGAAGTAAATATGACTGTGCGAAGAATCTTATTAAAGATTATTACTCTTTTCTTAACACTTTACCGACCGGTAGCCTATTAATCGGCTTCTTGTCGCCAACGCTTACCGACCGGTAGCCTATTAATCGCAACAACAACAATAACAGAAAACGAACAATATAGTAAGCACTTTCACAAAGTTTGATTTAATATTTCTATAGGTATAAGAAAAAGCGCATATATTCCCGCGCGATAGCCTATTTAGAGTCTAAACAAAGCCGGTGTCAGCGATTTATCTGTGACCGATTGAGCGGTCGGTACCGGTCGGTAAAGTGTTAAAATACAAATCTTTGGATAAATTTTACATCATTTAATGTAACTATTTTTTTTACATTAAGTTTTGTCAAGAAAAACTTTAAAAATACTTCACTTCATTGTTTATCAATTTAATCACTTCTTCGTGAAACTATGGAAATTTATTTTTTCTTCGCACAGTTTGTTTTAATGGAAGCCATATTGGTACTAGGATAATCTTTGTAAAGTTAGTAAATACGCTTACAATTTAATTAAACCTGCAAGTATTTATTTCATTAAAGTATATATTTACAATCACAATCTCCAAATTGATTGTAGTAACATATTCGATTATTGGATATAACTCTGTATACTACTATTTTAGTACCAAGTGACCGTTCCTTTTCGCTATCTCATCTACATATAACATAAGTTTTTCTAAAATGTTCCGTTTTTAAAACGTCCACTAGTTCGTGTTTCGTACAACTATCTTCGAAGTACAGGTCATGAGCCCCACCAGGAAGTTTCGAATTTCTAATTTTGAACTCGTCTTGTTAGGAATTTACATAACTATAAACATCTCTTTTCTTGTGAATTTTCTTTCCAAATATCACCAATCCTCGTTAATGATTTGCATAAAACGTCTCTGGACTGTCAATTTACACACTGTCTAAAACATTCTTAGGGGATTCAACTTGAACAATCAATTTAAGGATTAGTTACATAGATATGTTTATTTTGATTAAACGTAATTTATAAATATTCATGTTAGATTTATTAATTAAATATTTTTTAATCGATGAAACATTCTTGGCAAGTAGCTAAATAGGAAGAACTTAATTCTTCGTTTTGAGAGCATGTTTCGGTAAATTCATTTGATCATAAAGTACAGATAGGCATATTAGTTGTAAAATGTAGTTAAGAATATCA